GAACCTCATATGTTGACCAAAGTCAACTCTTTATCAAAATTTCACAACTTTAGCAACTTAGGACCTCAATTCTTCGTTTCAACTCCAAATTCAACTCCGTAACTTCACACAGACCCGTTTCGACATTCTAAAACTGCCGGAATCGACGAAAATCTGATCCAAGTCTCGAAACTCCAAATGACTCGAAAAAGCACTTTTTAACCAACTTTAACTCATAAAAACTCAACTTTTTACCAACTTTTCCTCAAACCAACTTTACAACCACAAAACATGGGACTCGGGGCAACTACCGAAAGGGCAAAATAGTCATTTCCATGAAAAATTACCAAAATGACCTTTCGGGTCATTACAAAAAATAAGTTGTTTTTAAGTTAAAAAATAAAAAAGGGAAAATGCATAAGTATCCTCCAATCTATGCCCGAAATTTCAGAGACACACTTATACTATACTAAGGTCATATTACCCCTCGAACTTATTTTATAAATAATTCTCTACCCCTTTTCAGCCTATGTGGCACTATCTTTTGGGCCCAGCGCGTGTTGACAATTTTTTCAAGTTATCTGGTTGATAGTGCCACGTAGGCCGAAAAGGGGTAGAAAATTATTTATAAAATAAGTTTAGGGTCGTAATGGGACCATGGTATAGTACAAGTGTGTCTCTGGGATTTCGGGCATAGGTTGGGGGTTCTTATGCATTTTCCCAATAAAAAAGTCAAATTAAAATGACTTTTAAGTCAAATAATAAAAAGTATGGGGAGATCTATTTTTGGTTTTTAAAGTCATTTTAAACTTATTTTAAGTTATTTTTAACCTTGTCAAACACTTCCAAAAGCTAAAAATTACTTAAAAGTAGGTTTGACCAATTTTTAATTCAATCCAAACATGCTCTTACGTCCTTTATTTTATGTATTTTAATTTTTATTGGGCATAAAATTTAATAATGCAAGATTATTTCTTACAAAATATAGTAATCATAAATTAAATATTTGTATAATGTGCTAAAACATCTCTTGAACCGGTGGTTTAACGCCCAAAGACTGATAGTTAATTAATTTCAGGGATCCTTAATCTAATACTATATCAATAAGATATTTTTAAAAAATTATATAGTGGTTTGTTTTAGTGTGATGATACTGTATGACACGGTTTATAAGTTTTAAATTATATATAAAACTTATGCGTTTTCCCTATAAATTTGAACAGGGCCAATATCTTTCTTTCTTCTCCTTTGGCAGTGAATGTACGGTAGAAAAAGACCCTTGTAGACTTCCAAGTTTTTATTTTGAAAAATTCAAACAAATAATCCTTCCAACAAATTCTTCCACAATTTTTCCTCTTGTTCACACACAAAAAAAAAATAAAAAAATTATGGTACAGTAATAAATATTTTTTATTTTTAATCAGATATTTTGAATTGAAACTAGCATCATTTTTGTTAGAGAATATTTTCTTTACCCTCAATATAAAGTTTTTCGGCATGATTTCAAATTAATCCACTCCGATATAAATATAGATATGGGACACCAGCTTGTTTCCTTTCCACAATATAAAAATTTTCAGCATGCATTCAAATTTAATCCACTCTAATATAGATAGCAAATAACTTCGCCTCGAAAAAAAAAAGTTGGAAGTAGAAAAACTTCCCTCACAAAACGATCCACTAATCAATACTACATTCGTCCATTTTTAATTGTCATAATTTCTTTCTTTAGAATTAAATTATAAAAACTTTGACTAATATTTTACAATATATTTTCTCATCACATTGATAGGCAAGTTTTAGAATATCTAATTTTTTTGTTCAAAATATGCAATTAGTTTAATTTAATTTAACTTTAAAAATAAGCTGACTTTCAAAAGCGGACAGATAAAAGTGGATGAAGTGAGTATAAATTGCCCTTCCTTTTTTCCTGTTTTCTCTGTTTCTACAACTTCTACAGCAGCTGATCAGTTTGCACCGGCGACGGCGATATCTCTCTTTTCCGACTCAAAATCCGGCGAATTCAAGCCGTTCAGTGCTCTCACTGAGATTCAATGATTGTGGCTGGCGGTAAAAGATCATTAGTACTTTTTTTTTTAACCCAACATAACCCGTAGTCACTACAACCTCTGTCTTCGGGTGAGCATTTTATGGTGAGCACTGGTAAACTCTCACTGTGTAATAGCCTGCAAACCACAAAAGAAATTTAAACCGCACTAAGCAAGTCTTATGCGACAGACTCGACTCAGAAGACATTGAGGGGAGATCGATCCGGATCGTGCGGAATTCTTCCTCTGTTGAGGCTTCTGCTGGTCATCTTTACCAGCTCTATCTCCTCTACCGAATCTCTTGCGACCTCGTGTGGATAACCACCCTCCAAACCAACAAACCAACTAAGTGGACATATCCTTCGTACTCAGTAAATAATAAGTAAGAGGTATGGAGTTCGAGCTTTAGAAATGAAGTTCTTTTGATAGTAATCTCTTTAATTTGTGCTGAATATGGGCGGGTTGAATCAATGAATGGGTTATTGTTTGGGCTAAACAATGGGTCATAGCTCAATTCGTCTTACTTGACCCATTACTTGTACAAATTTCAAACTCAAATTCTATGGTATTTCTATGGTGTTATATATATATATATAAATAAGAATAGCATTTGATATCTGGTATTGTTTTGTTTTTGTAGTGAATAAGATTTGATAATTGCTTAATCTTCATGTTGTGAATTGTGTTATGTTTAATTTTTTTTCTTATTTTCTTTTAGTGCAACTTTCAAGATAGATGAGATTTAGTTACTTCTTTAGACTGAAATGGGCGGGTCAATAATCAGTCCAAACTTCAGGAGGTTTGGCGGGTTATGATTTCATGGAATAATTCTGTCATCCTTAGTGATGGCGGGTAGTAGCTAGTGATGGTGGTGGATGGTGGGGTGGTTAACAATGGTAATTGATGGTTACGGATAATTGTGATGGATGGTAATAATAGTTAATAGGGGTGGTGACTAATAGCAGTGATTGGTGATGGTGGCGATTGCCCATAAAGATTGGTGGTTATTATGGTAATGCTAGTTGGTGGTGATGGTTGTAAATGATGGCTGATGGTGGATGATGACTAACTGCAGTGATTGAGGGAATGGTAGTTGTGGATGAGGATGGTGATTGTGGAGTTGTGATAATTGATATGGCTGGACAACAACGATGACAACGATTAGCAGTTGTCCCACCCTTTGTTAAAAAATATTTTTCAAGATTAAAAGGGTTTTCAACCTTGAAAGTGACAAAATTGTGTTTCTAAAACAAGTCCAACTCCAAATGACTGATCATCAACAGGAATTTCGGTTAAGAAATTTTGTTTACCGAGGGGAAGGTGATGGGCACCCTCAAGTATCATGGTTCTGGCATGGTCGCTTTACATACTCGTATTGGCTAAAAATAGAAAAGCAACTAAACAAACTCACAGACACACAAGTGTGCGCTTGTGTTTTAAAACAATGTCCGAACTATTTTCTTTTGTTCTTCTATATATACTCATAACAAAACTAGTTTCTTCTCTAATAGTACTTCAATTAGTCCTCTCACATTGTTTCTATGTTGTACAGCTCATTTGGCAAAAATGGAAAGAGCAACCCCTTCAATGTTGTGTAGTCACTTTGTTATTGTGTTGATCATACTTCTACCAGATACATCAGTGGCTGAACCAAGATCCCAGATACTCCAGCTCATATGTGGAAATGGAACGATAGTTGCCGCTCCAAATTTTGCTGCTACAATGGAAATTGTAAGTGAACAAATTAGAAGTAGGGGATATGGAGTAGCAGCTACTGGCACTGGACCAGATACTAGCTATGGACTTGCCCAATGCTATGGTGATCTTTCATTACTCGACTGTGCCTTGTGCTACTCTGAAGCGCGAACCGTTATTCCCGGGTGCTTCCCCAGTAACGAGGGCCGAATTTATCTTGATGGCTGCTTTATCCGAGCATCCAATTACAATTACAATTTCTATGACCAGTATTTAGGTCCAGAAGACAGGCATGTATGCGGAAACAGGACGACAAAGGGTTCATTGTTCCAACAGAATGCTAGGCGAGCCGTTCAGCAAGCAGTTGCAAATGCACCGAGTAATAATGGTTACGCGCGTGCTCAAGTGTCTTCCATTATGACAGCTTATGTTCTCGCTGATTGCTGGAAGACGCTAAGTGCAAACTTCTGCGCAGTGTGTTTGCAATATGCGTCTGCATCCATGTTGGGATGCTTGCCATGGTCAGAAGGTAGAGCCCTTTTCACTGGATGTTTCATGAGGTATTCCGATACCAATTTTCTCAATGCTATTACTACCAATGGAGGCTCGTCATCAAGGGGTACTTTTTGCTCTTTTTTCATCTTGGTTTACGTGTTATTTATCAACTAAACACGTAAATTTTACTTGCAAATCACCATATTGCAGGAAAAGTTGTGATTACTATCATTGTTGTTAGTGCTGTTGTCGTTTTGGGAGTAGGTGCTTTCATTGGTATTGGTGTCTGGAAGAATAAACTAATCCAGAAGAAGAGAAAAGGTAAATACTTTTGTGCTAAAAATTAGTTATGTAAGTCATTACGACGATATCAATGTACATATATTGTATCTTTATTCTAAAACTTAGAATAAAAAAAATTGAAATTGTTAGGTGCAAATGATGCCAAGAAATTAGTGAAGATACTTCATGACAAGTGCTTGAACTTCAAGTATTCGGCACTTAACAAAGCCACAGGGTCATTTGATGAGGTCAACAAGCTCGGGCAAGGTGGATTTGGCACGGTTTATAAGGTATGTAATAGCTGAATGTAGTGCAATTCAATGCAATAGTTGAAGTGTTAGCAATTAAACCGAGTCTGAGGTGCGATTTGTTGCAGGGTGTTTTGGCAGATGGGAGAGAACTCGCCGTCAAAAGGCTGTTCTTCAACAACAAACACAGAGTTGCAGATTTTTATAACGAGGTTAACATAGTCAGCAGCATTGAGCACAAAAATTTGATAAGGTTATTGGGATGCAGCTGCTCAGGACCGGAAAGCCTTCTTGTATACGAGTTCCTCCCTAACCAGAGCCTGGATCGCTTCATATTTGGTAAGTAAGGGTCGGCTATATGAATCATCACTATTCTATTTATCCTAAACTCATGTCATCATCACACAAACTAAAAATAGAAGTGAAAATAAGTAACCACCATCGCGTTAAGACTAAATGCTGCGTTTTCACATAACAACGCCAGAATGATTTTGTTGCGTATCTTGATTCTAACTTTAAAATTTGACAGACCCTATCAAAGGTAAAGCTCTAAAATGGGAGAAAAGATTTGAGATAATTATAGGTACAGCAGAAGGATTAGTATACCTTCACGAGAACACAAAGACACGAATAATTCACAGAGACATAAAGGCAAGCAACATCCTGTTGGACTCGAGGCTCCGTGCAAAGATTGCTGATTTTGGGTTGGCCAGGTCATTCCAAGAAGACAAGAGTCATATAAGCACTGTCCTTGCTGGCACATTGTCAGTATTTCTTCGTCTCGTCTTCTATTTTTTCGCGTAAAAGTACACAAAAAATGCAAAGACTAATATGGCCCAATAATGCAGGGGATATATGGCTCCAAAATACTTAGCACATGGTCAATTAACAGAAAAGGCAGATGTTTACAGCTTTGGAGTTCTTCTACTAGAGATTGTTACTGGAAGACAAAATAACATGAGAAAAAACGACGAAGATACAGTCAGCTTAGTTTCCGATGTAATTTCTGATCAATAATTTCTCTCTTGAACCAAATTTTAAATCTAGGAAAACATTTCTGTTCATTGATCTTAACTTTATTGGATGAAATTCACAGGTGTGGGAGCACTTTGAACGCGGGATAGTGGAGGAGCTGTTCGATCCGAATCTCATGTTGCATAACTGCCATACAATCAATGTACAAAATGAGGTAGCGAGAGTGTTACATGTTGGACTTTTGTGCACTCAAGAGATCCCAACGTTACGTCCATTCATGTCTAAGGCATTAAAAATGCTCGTCAAGAAAGACGAAGAGTTGCCTCCTCCTACTAATCCGCCATTCGTGGATGAGAAAACCATGTAGCTTCATGACCCTTGGGAGGAGTACTCACTTAAACAAGGCAATTCTTCTTCAATTGCCAACTTATCTCACAGTACTTTTTACCCCAAATGATGATATCTTAGTGCCCTGAAATTGAAGCATAGATTATAGGCATATTGGCCTCAATAGCAACTAAACATTCCAACTTTGAGTATGCACATCTAGACACCTCAACTCTGAAATGACCGGAGGGGGGGGGGGTTGTATTTTTATACTGTTTGGGATTCAGTGTTGATCTTAGTCTAGTCCCCTTGGGATGCAAGGGTGTTCTATGTAAGTTCTTGAAGTTTGTATTGTACAAGATATGTGAAGTGTAATTTCTAAGTCTATAATCAGACACTTAAATTTGTATAAAGTTGAATAAATAGATACACGTAGGACATAAATTTTCATGTAGGATGCCATGTAGGATGTGTGTGTATTTGTTCAATTGTATATAGATTTAAGTACCTACTTATGCACACCAAAAGTCGGAGAACATAAATATGAAATGACGCCAAGTTAAAGGGCATATTTATGTATAATGCATTTTCCCTCTCTTCTCTCTTTTGATTACACAATAAATCAAACAGAAATTATAATGCTTGTTAAGATCACAAATTTTAAAAATATTTTTCATTCTTAAACCCGTATCAAATCAAATTGTGTCACATAAATTTAAACAGGAATGTATCTTCTGTCTTCTCCTCTTTTTTTTGGTTTAGGCAGTAATGGGAATTTTCATATATAAATCCAATAATCAAATAGGCAGTTACTGTTACTCTTTGAAAAATTCAAACAAATGATCTTTTCCACAAATTATTTCCCCTTGTTGACTTCTCTCTTATAAAAAAAAAAAACAAAAAAAATTGTGGTGGAGTAGTAACTACTTCATCTATAATCAGAAGGTTCGAGTTCGAGCCTTCTTAGGTATATAATTGTCTTTGTTAGAAAACGTATTACCCCTAATGAGGAACTACTTCCTGATACGAATTCAAATTTAATTTGGCTTCAATATGAATACCGGACACTGGACTGAAAAGAAGACTTCTATTACAAAATCATTCTTACCATTTCCAGTTTGACCCATTAATTAAAAAATTCCATTTTTCTCTTTTTTTCCATCATTTTCTTCCCACTATCTATCTGCCTCATCTCTTCTGTTGACCTCTCTCACAAAAAAATCAATAAAAAGTCGTGGTGGAGTGGTAAGTATACTCTTTCATCTATAATCAGAAGTTCGAGTTCGAGTTCGAGTGTAGTTTGGTACAAAGTTGTCTTTATCTTTGACAGCAGCTGACAGTTTGCACTGGTGATCTCTTTTTCCAACTCGAAATCCGGAAAATGTGAGTTTTCTGTTCTTTCTGTTTTTATTAAGATGCTATGATTATGTCTTAGTATTAGCATAAAACAGTTATCCAAATTGTTTTCGAGATATTAGTTGTGGTTTCCAATGGGGGGTTGGGGGGGGGGGGGGGGGGATAGTGGCTAGTGATGGTGGTGGTTAATAAAATCGGTTGATGGTAGTAGCGGTGGCTACTGATAATTGTGGTGGAGGATAGTAATAGCTAATAGGAGTGGTGACTAATAGTGATTGATGATATATAACGGTGATAGGTATATGCTGGTGATTGTTCGTAATGATTGATGGTTATTGTGAATGATGGCTAACTGTAGTTATGGCCAAGCTAAGGGATTCAAGAGTTTTTCATCAAGTCGCTACTTCGGAAGCTTGCTCAGAATAAGTTTTGTAGGAACTAGTTATGTCTTTTACGACATAACTTTTGTCTTGTGGGTTCTGAACTGAACTTATGCCGAGTGAAAATTGATTATTATTTCAATGTCAATGATATTTTTCTCATTCTATGTTATACAGCTCATCTGGAGAAATGGAGAGAGCAAGCCCTTCAATTTTGTGTAGTCTCTTTGTTATTGTGTTGATTCTACTTCTATCAGATACATCAGTGGCTGAATCAATATCTCAGATAGTCCAGATCATATGTGGAAATGAAACGGGGGCTTCCGTCACAAATCAGATGGATACAACTAAAAACATAAGTCAACAAATGAGAACTAGAGGATATGGAGTAGCAGTTACCGGTACTGGGCTAGATACTAACTATGCACTTGCCCAATGCTATAGTAATCTTTCTTTAGTCGACTGCGTCTTATGCTTCTCTGAAGCGGAAACTCTCCTGCCCCAATGCTACCCTTTTAACGGACGGAGAATTTATCTTTATGGTTGCTTTTTTCGAGTGGATAATTACATGTTCTATGACCAGTATTTAGGTCCAGAGGACAGGCATGTATGCGGAAACAGGACGATAAAGGGTACATTGTTCCAACAGAATGCTAGGCAAGTGCAGCAAGCAGTTGCAAATGCACCGAGTAATGATGGTTATGCATGTGCCGAAGCGTCAGTACCCGGTCCTTCCAACGAGACAGCTTATGTTCTCGCTGATTGTTGGAAGACACTAAGCGCGAATTCCTGTGCAGCGTGTTTGCAAAATGCATCTGCATCTATGTTGGGATGCTTACCTTGGTCAGAAGGTAGAGCCCTTTACACTGGATGCTTCATGAGGTATTCTGATACAATTTTTCTCAATGATACTTCTACCAGTGGAGGTTCGTCATCAAGGGGTACGTTTTGCTCTTTTTTCGTCCTGGTTTACCGGTTATTTATGAACTAATTTTTACTTTCAAATCACCATAATGCAGGAAAAGTTATAGTCATTGTCATAGTTGTTGTAATTAGTTCCGTTGTCGTTTTGGGAGCAGCTGCTTTCGTTGGTTTTGGTGTTTGGGAGAACAAACAAATCCAGAAGAAGAGAAAAGGTAATTACTTTTGTGCCAAAAATATCAATGATGTACATATTGCTGAGTATATATCTTGTGATTTGCACACAACTGTACCGAGACAACTTTCAAGAATTAACTTGAGGCGTTGTGGCCTACTCATGCTTTTCCTCGGAAATTTGAACTTGTTAGGTGCAAATGATGTGGAGAAATTGGTGAAGATCCTTCATCAAAACAGCTTAAACTTCAAGTATTCGACACTTGACAAAGCCACGGGGTCATTTGATGAGGCCAACAAGCTCGGGCAAGGTGGATTTGGCACAGTTTATAGGGTATGTAAAGGCTGAATGTTATCAGCAAAGCAATTAAACAGAGTTTGATACACAATTTGTTGCAGGGTGTTTTGGCAGACGGAAGAGAGATCGCAGTCAAAAGGCTGTTCTTCAACAACAAACACAGAGCTGCAGATTTTTATAGCGAGGTTAACATAATCAGTAGTGTCCAGCACAAAAATTTGACAAGGTTATTGGGATGCAGCTGCTCAGGACAGGAAAGCCTTCTTGTATACGAGTTACTCCCTAACCAGAGTCTTGATCGCTTCATATTTAGTAAGTAACCCGACATTGCAACAACAATTACTATACCTCAGTCCCAAACAAGTTAGGGGTCGGCTTTATGAATCCTCGCTATTCTATTTATGCTAAACTCATGTCATCATTACTCCAACTAAAAATAAAAGTGGAAATAAGTTAAACTTAAGTAACCGACTTTGCATTAAGACTAAGTGGAATGACTTTGTCATGTATATTGATTCTAACCTTTTTGACAGACCCTATCAAAGGTAAAGCTCTAAATTGGGAGAAAAGATTTGAGATAATTATAGGGACAGCAGAAGGAATGGTATACCTACACGAGAACACAAATACACGAATTATTCACAGAGACATTAAGGCAAGCAACATCCTGTTGGACTCGAGGCTCCGTGCAAAGATTGCTGATTTTGGGTTGGCCAGGTCATTCCAAGCCGACAAGAGTCACATAAGCACTGCCATTGCTGGCACATTGTAAGTATTTCTTCACCTCATCTTCTAATTTTTCGCGTAAAAGTACACAAAAATGCCAAGACTAACATAATGGATGATTTACCATTTTTATGCAGAGGATATATGGCTCCAGAATACTTAGCACACGGTCAGCTAACAGAAAAGGCAGACGTCTACAGCTTTGGAGTTCTTCTACTAGAGATTGTTACTGGAAGTCAAAATAACAAGAGAAAAAACGCCGAATATACAGTCAGCTTAGTTTCCAATGTAATTTCTGATCAATCACTTCTCTCTTGAACCAAATTTTTAATCTTGAACCAACATTTACGTTCATTGATCTTAACTTTATGGATGAAATTAACAGGTGTGGGAGCACTTTCAACGCGGGATAGTAGAGGAACTCTTTGATCCCAATCTCATGTTGCATAACTACCATACAATCAATGTGAAAAATGAGGTTGCAAGAGTGTTGCATGTGGGACTTTTGTGCACTCAAGAGATCCCAACGTTACGTCCATCCATGTCTAAGGCATTACAGATGTTTGTCAAGAAAGACGAAGAGTTGCCTCCTCCAACTAAGCCGCCATTCGTGGATGAGAAAACCATGGAACTTCATGACCCTTGGGAGATGTACTCGCTTAAACAAGGCGATTCTGCTACGACTGCCCACTTATCTCACAGTTCATTTTACCCCAGATGATGATATACCAATGCCCTGAAACTGAATTATAAATTATAGGCATGATATAAGATAGACTCTTTAAATTGGCCTCAACTGGCAACTAAACAGCTGTGAGTTGGGAATCTAATGTGGATCTGAGGCCTCATTTGTTTTCATTAAGATTTAGACGTTTGAATCTGAATGCACATTTGAATGATTAAGATTGTTTGTGTTGGAAAATATTGGAAATCACGCTTGAGGCGATATGGCACATTTGAATGATTAAGATTATATATACAATTGTGCACTTTAATAACCTAAAATATACCTAACATTGTGACCTCATAATTTTTTGTGAGAGTTTCAGCCTCGATTATTTACATCGACTTTATTTTTAAAAAATTAAAATTGCAAATGATAATGTAGCTACTCTGATTTGCTCTCATAATAACATATTTTTGAAGAAAGAAACTTGAAATCAGACAAGTAGCTTACAAATAGCTCATGCAAGCAGTTTCTTTAAAAGTCTTACAACTTCGTGAAAAGCTTTATAACAACGACTTTCTAAAAAAGATTGCAATCAAGCAAGCAACTTGTAAATAAATATCTTTCTAAAAAGTCGTACATCAACATCTTAGAAAGTCCTGCACTTTTTTTTCCTTCTATAAATAGAAAATTAAATCAAATTTTAATAAGGACGCATGTGAAACCTTTATAGTACCATAAATGTTATATCTTTTTTAAAGACGAACTTCAAAAAAATTACATCCACACAAAAAATTATAACATGTCAAAGATCACAAATATATTTATTTTCTTGTTAATTTTCGTATCATATAAATTTGAACACAAGAATATATTTCTTTCTTCTTATTTTTTTCTTCTCCTTTGGCAGTGAATTTACATTAGAAAAAGACTCTTGTAGACTTCCAAGCCTTTATTTTGAAAATTCAAACAAATAATCCTTCCACAATTTTTCCTCTAGTCCCACACAAAAAAATATATATATATGGTAGAGTAATAAATATTTTTTATTTTTAATCAGATATTTTGAATTCAAGCTCTTTATTAAGTACGGTATGTTTTTGTTAAAAAAATATTTTCTTCACCTCCAATATAATGTTTTTCGGTATGAGCTCAAATTTAATCCTCTCCAATATAGCTATCGAACACCAGCTTACTTCCTTTCCCCACTATAAATGTTTTTAACATGCGTTCAAATTTTAGTCCACTCTAGAAAACCGCCGCGAGACAAATAAAAAGTTGGAAGTTAAAAATTGCCCTTCATTTTCCCTCTTTTCTCTGTTTCTACGACTTTGACAGCAGCTGATCAGTTTTGCACCGGCGATATCTCTCTTTTCCGACTCAAAATCCGGCGAATTCAAACCGTTCAGTGCTCAAAAGGACTTTGTGAGTATTCTTTCTATTTTCACTAAGATTCAATGATTGTGGCAGGCGAAAAATCCTTCGTATTAAATAAGTTAGAGGTATCGAGTTCGAGCTTTAGAAATGAAGTTCTTTTGATAGTAAACTCTTTAATTTGAGCTGAATTTGGGTGGGGTGAATCAATGAATGGGTTATTGTCTGGGCTAAACAATGGGTCATGGCTCAATTCATCTTACTTGTACAAATTTCAAACTTACATTCTATGGTGTTTTATATATATAAATAAGAGTAGCATTTGATATCTGGTATTGTTTTGTTGTTGTAAATGTGAATAGGATTTGATAATTGCTTAATCTTCCTGTTATGAATTGTGCTATGTTTATATTTTCTCGTATTTTCTTTTAATGTTACTCCCTTGGGCTGAAATGGGCGGGTCAATAATCCGTCCAAACTTTATGAGGTTGGGTGGGTTATGATTTCATGGGCTAATTTTGCCAATCCTTAGTGGTGATGGTGGGTAGTAGCTAGTGATGGTGGTGGCTACCGATAATTGTGATGGATAGTAATAATAGTTAATAGGAGTGGTGACGAAATAGTCAAGATTGAAAGTGACAAAATTGTGTTTCTAAAACAAGTCCGACTCCAAAAGACTGACTGATCATCAACAAGGATTCCGGTTAAGGAATTTTGTTGACCGAGGAGAAGGTGTTGGGCAGCACTTGTATCATGGTTCTAGCACGTTCGCTTTACTGACTCGTATTGGCTAAAAATAGAAACTCAACCAAACAAACTCACAGACACACAAGTGTACGCACAATAAAGGTGTTTTAAAATAATGTCCGAACTATTACAGTCCAAAACTATAAATACTGATAACAAAACTAGTTTCTTCTCTAATAGTACTTCAATTAGTCATCTCACATTGTTTCTATGTTGTACAGCTCATTTGGCAAAAATGGAAAGAGGAACCCCTTCAATGTTGTGTAGTCACTTTGTTATTATGTTGATCCTACTTCTACCACATACATCAGTGGCTGAACCAAGATCCCAGATACTCCAGCTCATATGTGGAAACGGAACGATAGTTGCCGCTCCAAATTTTGCTGCTACAATGGAAATTGTAAGTGAACAAATTAGAAGTAGAGGATATGGAGTAGCAGCTACTGGCACTGGACCAGATACTAGCTATGGTCTTGCCCAATGCTATGGTGATCTTTCATTACTCGACTGTGCCTTATGCTACTCTGAAGCGCGAACCGTTATTTCCCGGTGCTTCCCTAGTAACGAGGGCCGAATTTATCTTGATGGCTGCTTTATCCGAACGTCCAATTACAATTACAATTTCTATGACCAGTATTTAGGTCCAGAAGACAGACATGTATGCGGAAACAGGACAGCAAAGGGTTCATTGTTCCAACAGAATGCTAGACGAGCCGTTCAGCAAGCAGTTGCAAATGCACCAAGTAATAATGGTTATGCGCGTGCTCAAGTGTCTTCCACCATGACAGCTTATGTTCTCGCTGATTGCTGGAAGACGCTAAGTGCAAACTCCTGCGCAGCGTGTTTGCAAAATGCATCTGCATCCATGTTGGGATGCTTGCCTTGGTCAGAAGGTAGAGCTCTTTACACTGGATGTTTCATGAGGTATTCTGATACAAATTTTCTCAATGCTATTTCTACCAGTGGAGGCTCGTCATCAAGGGGTACGTTTTGCTCTTATTTCGTCCTGGTTTACTGGTTATTTATAAACGAATTTCTACTTTCAAATCACCATATTGCAGGAAAAGTTGTAGTCATTGTCGTTGTTGTTGTTAGCTCCGTTGTCGTTTTGGGAGTAGGTGCTTTCATTGGTTTTGGTGTCTGGAAGCACAAACAAATCAAGAAGAAGAGAAAAGGTAAATACTTTTGTGCCAAAAATTAGTTATAAAAGTCATTAGGATATCAATGTTGTACATATTGCTGAGTATATATCTTGCGATTTGCACACAACTGTACCGAACACAACTTTCAAGAATTAACTTGAGGCATTATGACCTACTTGTGCTTTTCCTGGGAAATTTGAACTTGTTAGGTGCAAATGATGTAGAGAAATTAGTGAAGATCCTTTCTCAAAACAGCTTGAACTTCAAGTATTCAACACTTGTCAAAGCCACTGGGTCATTTGATGAGGCCAACAAGCTTGGGCAAGGTGGATTTGGCACAGTTTATAGGGTATGTAATGGCTGACTGTAGTGTGATTATGTTAACAGCAATGCAATACTAGAAGTGTTGGCAATTAGACAGACTCTGAGGCGCATTTTGTTGCAGGGAGTTTTGGCAGACGGGAGAGAGATCGCCGTCAAAAGGTTGTTCTTTAACAACAAACACAGAACTGCAGATTTTTATAATGAGGTGAACATAATCAGTAGTGTCCAGCACAAAAATTTGACAAGGTTATTGGGATACAGCTGCTCAGGACCGGAAAGCCTTCTTGTATACGAGTTCCTCCCTAACCAGAGTCTTGATCGCTACATATTTGGTAAGTAACCAAACTTTACTACAACTACGTGTTAGTCCCAAACAAGTTAGGGGTCAGCTATACGAACCCTCACTATTCTATTTAAGCTGAACTCATCTCATCATTGCACCAACTAAAAATCAAAGTACAAATAAGTTAATAGGTAACCGACTTTGCATTAAGACTAAGTAGTGTGTTTTCACATAAGCATGCCTGAATGATTTTGTCACGTGTATTGATTCAAACTTTAAAATTTGACAGACGCTATCAAAGGTAAAGATCTAAATTGGAAGAACAGATTTGAGATAATTGTAGGGACAGCAGAAGGATTGGTATACCTACACGAGAACACAAAGACACGAATAATTCACAGAGACATAAAAGCAAGCAACATCCTGTTGGACTTGAGGCTCCGTGCAAAGATTGCTGATTTTGGGTTGGCCAGGTCATTCCAAGAAGACAAGAGTCACATAAGCACTGTACTTGCTGGCACATTGTCAGTATTTCTTCATCTCATCTTTTAATTCTTCGCGTAAAAGTACACAAAAACACAGAGACTAATATCGTCCTATAATGGATGATTTACCCAATTTATGCAGAGGATATATGGCTCCAGAGTACTTAGCACGCGGTCAGCTAACAGAAAAAGCAGACGTTTACAGCTTTGGAGTTCTTTTACTAGAGATTGTTACTGGAAGACAAAATAACAAGAGAAAAAACACTGAATATACTGTCAGCTTAGTTTCCGATGTAATTTCTGATCAATCACTTCTCTCTTGAACCAAAATTTCAATCTTGAAACATTTTTGTTCATTGAACTTGACTTTATTGGATGAAATTAACAGGTGTGGGAGCACTATAAACGCGGGATAGTGGAGGAACTCTTCGATCCAAATCTCATGTTGCATAACTACCATACAATCAATGTAAGAAATGAGGTTGCGAGAGTGTTAATTGTGGGACTTTTGTGCACTCAAGAGATCCCAACGTTACGTCCATCCATGTCTAAGGCATTACAGATGTTTGTCAAGAAAGACGAAGAGTTGCCTCCTCCAACTAAGCCGCCATTCGTGGATGAGAAAACCATGGAACTTCATGACCCTTGGGAGATGTACTCGCTTAAACAAGGCGATTCTGCTACGATTGCCAACTTATCTCACAGTTCATTTTACCCCAGATGATGATATCTCAATGCCCTGAAACTGAAGTATAAATTATAGGCATGATACATATATAGACACTTAAAATTGACCTCAATTGGGAAACTAAACACTCCAACTTTGATTGTGTACATATAGACACCTCAACTCTAAAAGTACAGAGGGGTGGGGGGGGTGGGGGGGGTGTACTGCCTAGTAAATAAGAGAATGATTAGTGAGTGAAGACAAAGTAAATGATCCAAATGTTCTTATATTGTTTGGGATCCAATGTGGATCTCAGGCCTCATTTATTTCGTTAAGATTTAGACGTTTGAATCTAAATGCATATTTGAATGATTAAGATTGTTTGTTTCAATATTTGAGTGTACATAATAAATATACAATCCAAATAAAATTAAGGCTAAAGTATTCATTACCCCCTGAACTTGAAGTTTTTTATTCGGTGTACACCTAAACTATATTTCATTTTAATTACCACCCCGAACTTGTTTATTCCTCCATTGCGTACACCTTTATTGTCCACCTGGCGTAGAAATTGACAACACACTCTACTAAGCGCGTGAGAAAGTGTTTTTTTGCCACATCATAAAGCTACAACGGTAAAAAAAAACGTAAAATCTCCATTTTTCTTTAATATTTGGCATATTTTAAACGAAAAATAGGGCAAAATGTATATGAAAGGTAAAGGAAACAAAGATTAACACTTACTTGGTAAGAATTTCAGACAAATTTGAAATTTAATCGACCAACTTCACGTCTAGAAAACCCAAATCCAGAAGGAGTTCCGTGAAATAAGCCTCTATTCAAAAATAACTTTTAAACAATGAATGTTTGATATTTATTTTTTGACATATTAATCTATCTAGGTGGCTATTATTTATCCAGGTGGAAATCCACATCACCATTTTTGTCAGTTGTCGCACGCGTGTAGTCACAATAGGAGCAGGTGGACAAAAAAGGTGTACGTGATGAGGAATAAACAAGTTCGGGGGTAATTAAAACGGAACATAGTTTAGGTGTACACCGAATAAAAAGCTTCAAGTTCAGGGGGGGTAATGAATACTTTAGCCTAAAATTAATAATAAAATAAAATCACTATTTTATTTTTAAAAATGACAGACTTATGCTTGCTAGTGATGGTGAAGATACTTTGTAGTGGTGGTGGTGTTAGTAATAGTTGTTGTTAGTGTCTAGTAATGATGGTAGTGATAATTGTGATGGTGGAGGTGGTTGGTGTTGTGGTGTTTGTCATAATGATGGTCATTGGTAGTGGTGTTGATGGTTGTAATGGTGAAGTTGGTTGGTGTTTGTAATTAGACATAATGATGGTGGCGGCTGAAGAATATGTTGTGGTTGATGATGTGTTTGTGGTAGTTGGTTGCAGTGCTAGTTATGATGATGGAGGTGATTGGTAAAGACTGACCATAGTGGTGGTAGTTGGTTGCGGTGCTAGTTATGATGTGGTGATAGTCTGTGGCGGTGCTAGTTGTGATAACATAGTACGTTTATTGGTAGTAGGAATTGATTATAGTGGTGGTAGTGATTGATAGTGATAGTGGAGGTGGAGGTGATTACAGAGATGGGGTAAGTATGGTAGCATTTGTTAGTAGTGATTACCAATTGTAGTGGTTGTAATGACAGAGGTGGCTGGTGATTGTGGATAGAGTAATGGTTAATACATCTTGATGATATTAAGACCTTGCTTTATATCTTATTGATTAACACCTATCCAGACCAATTAAGTGCTTAAATCTTAATGAAAACAAATACACTTAATGGTCTTAATGTCTGAACCATTCAGATTCAGACGTCCATTAAGTGCAAACAAATGAGGTTTTAGTCTAGTCCCCTTAGGTTGCAAGTTCTCTGTAAGTTCTTGAAGTTTGTCTTTTATAGGACATGTGAAGTGTAGTTCCTACGTATATATTTAGGGGTGGTAATTGGACGGGTTGGATTAAATATTGAGCGGGTCATAATGGGTTAAGACAACAATTGGGTCAAGACCCAACTCAACCCATTTTTTACTAAGTTTAGTTGTTTATTTGTTATTTTAAACTAATTCAGTACCTAATAAATTAATCTTTTTCTTTATTATGACTATATATAACATATCAAATTCAAAAAAAAAATTAAAAATATTTTGACAAGATTTGTCATGAGTCAGTTCGGATTACCTATCAACTCAATTTTTAATGGGTTGAAATGGATTGAACTAATAAATGGGCGAGTCAATAACTCGCTCAAACTTAAACGAATTAGGAGAACTGACAAGTTGGGTTTGATTTTGCCACCCCTATATATACTCTATCTTTTTTTCTCTTGATAGATCCAGTGCCTCACAACAATATTTTTCCCCTCTCTCTCTTGATTACACAGTAAATCAAATAGAAAATACAATGTTTGTTAAGAGTAGAACAAAAATGTTTGAGGAGGTTTTGGCAATTGTATATTTTCTTTGACCTCTGATGGCATCTTATATAGGCTCTTTGAACTAGTCAGTTTGAGGTATTTGACAGGATAGCAACCCAAATCGAATTGATCCTTAGAAAGACTAATTGATCTTGTAACTCTGTTGTTTTGATGGTTTTAACAAACAATGGACCTAGTTCCATGAGTTGTGCATGTCTCTATGTTGAAATGGGGAACAACTGTAAAGCTGACAAACTATCATGGTTGGTGAGCATGGGAAAAGAGGACAGAGTCCTCAACCAATGGGAGGACACTAGGTTGTTTTGTTCAGAGGATAATATATCTTTGTTGATATGAAACAACCTAGCAAACACATTTGAGCATAATCAAGAAAATAGTGTATTTTGTCTCTCGAGAATACAAGCCTTCAAGAACTTTAAGGGACCTAATAAAGTTATCAATTATGTCTTTTGTTGTTAATTAAAGCTTGTGTCTTGTGCGATTTAGCTTGTAAGGTACGAGTCTAATCTATAAAGGAACGGATCGTATCTTTATTATTTCAGTGAACAATGAGCATAGTTAGAGTTAAATGTGTAGCATGTGATCGAAGTGTGTATTAACTACAGTTAGTTGATAGTGGGAAATAGAGGTATTGTTTTGGCTCTCTATGTAATAGGGTGTTGCAGGTTGCAGGATTAAGAGTTTAATCCTTGTATGTTTGTTGAAGTCTATATTCACTTGTTGCTTAGATTTAATCATGCTCGAGTTGTTAGGTACAACAACACCACCTCAGTCCAAATAAGTTTGAATCATCAATTATATGAATCCTCACTATTTCATTAAATCTCAAGTCATGATCGATTAGTTAGTGTTAGTGATTGTGAGCATTTTAATATTATTAAAGTGGCCCATGTACCTTAAGGCATAATAAATAAATATGCTCTTTAACTTGGCTTCAAATCACGTTTATGCTCTTCAACTTTGGGTGTGCACAAGTAGACACTTAAACTTGTATAAAGTTAAACAAATACACACACATGTCCTATATGGCATCCTACATGTAATTTTTTGTCCTACGTGGTGTCCTACGTGTATTATGCCACGTAGGACTCATGTGTCTACTTTTTCAAATTTATACAAGTTTAAGTGCCTACTTGTGCATACCCAAAGTTGTAGAGCATAAATGTGATTTGAAGCCAAGTTAAAGGGCACATTTATGTATTATGCATGTACCTTAATGGTGCATATTGACATAATACATAAACATGACCATTAACTTGGCGTCAGCTGGCAACTATGACCTTTAACTTTGGGTGTGCACAAGTATGCACTTAAACTTGTATAAAATTGAACAACTTGACACATTCGTCCTACGTGGCACCCTACATGACAATTTTGTGGCATACATGGCATCCTACATGTATTATGTCATGTAGGACACGTGTGTCTGTTTGTTTAATTTTATACAAGTTTAAGTGTATATTTGTGCACACTCAAAGTTGGAAGGCATAGTTTTCCGTTGAAGCCAAGTTAAGGGTCATGTTTATGTATTATGCCTAAATCTTAATTTGATGCATTGGCTCTATACGTGAGTATTGACAACATTTTATGTCCATTACTCACATGAGTCAATATGGTAGAATGTGGCTATAATTTCCCCTAACTTTTGTAACCTCTAACTCATTCTTCACCTATTATTCTACCTCATTATGGTTGTAACTTATGTAACCTTTGGGCTATTCATTTACCCAATTTACTACCTATTATCTTGCTATTTATTGCAAGGAAGAATTCCTCACTTATAAATAGTGTGGTCTTACTTTGTGTTGGGAATATAAGAAAGTGTGTTAGCCAAATATGAGAAGTGTTGTATTGTGTATATATTGAGTTAGTACAGTGAAAGAGATAGTTGAGACAATGAATAATATTCTAAGTCTTAAACTATATTCACTATATAAAAGAGAGCAATAATATGTTGAAGGAAAGTATTCTTATATGGAGGTTTGGACTCTTCAACTAATCCGGAGTTGTTTGAATTATACAACGTTGTTGGGTTGTTCTATCCTGGAGGGGACAAATCAAGAGTGATACTGCTGGATCAGTGTAGATTATGCCACAGTGGCCTTGAATCTCCTTAAAGAGAGTGAGATATCATGCGTCTCAGCCTAAAGATTTGTTTATTCATTTTTGTCATTTTATTTTCAACTATAATTTATTGTATTTGTGATATATTACACCAATCGTTAGTTGCTTTAATAATTTGTTCCTAGCTAGAGTTGTTTGGATTTGACATATGGTGGTGATTATGCCTAGAATCTAATGCTACAATTTTGATGTGTGTGTAAATACTTGTATTCCTAAGAACTTTTGTACATTGATAATTCTATTAATTGTTGAAACAACTCATTTTGAATCTCTCAAATAGTAATTGGAACAAAAATGTAGGTAATTTAGATAAACGATTCTCTATAGAATGATGCATAAAACTAATTATAATTTGACAGAGTACAAGCTTAAAATATACAAGTTAGGAGTCTAACTAAAATCCCTGCCACCTTGAGGTAGATTAATTTTTGAGTTGTCTTTAATAAGAACTAGTCTTACGATACATGCTTTACGTATGTACTTATATCTCAATTTTTTAAAGTTACATAATATTATTCTCTTTGTCCTAATTTATGTGATCAGATTTTGAGAATCAAACAAATTATTAATTATTGTAACTTACATTTTTTTTATGTAGTCTCCATATAT